CTCATGCAATGCGTGGTGATTTTCTAGTTTATGTACGTTTTTGAGAAACCAAGGTTCAATGGACCTAAACTCCCTATGATTCATTTAGGGCAAGTTTCAAAAAAAATGATTCATTTAGGGTAGATAACAATTTGCCTATGAATCTTCCAAACTTATAGTCTGCACTGCATTGTTCTTTTTTGACAACATACGTCCTTTTAAATCGATTAGTACAAAAAAATGAATCATATAGGGAGTTTGGGTCCACTGAATGTTTACTCAACCAATTAATTGTAGCAATACAAATTTACAACGGCATTGAGCTATTATTACATTTTCACCTTAGATATGCATGCATTCGGGTTGAGGTTATGAAATGGTAAATACTAAATAGTTTTATTTGATTTGGTTCGGTTGGTTCGGTTTTATGGTAGCTCATTCAGATTATTCGGATACTTCAAGTTTCAATTTTTTTTTTTTTGAGGATAAAATAGTGACTAATGTATATAATACTTTGTCTTTTAGTATTCAATTTTAATCTGAACCGAACCAATACTCAATTTTTTTACTTCTTAAAACATCGGGTAATATGAACTTTCCAACTGAAAATAATCTTAGATGTCTACTTCTACTAGGGTTAGATGTTGGTCCACGGGACCAATCTCTCGTTTGTAAATTTATAATATAGTCCTACGTTTGTATAAATATGTTTTACTATATGAGATTTATAAAGGAAGATATATGAAAAAGTTTTATGTATATATCATTTTATTTTTGTAGAAATAAAGACACCGAAAGAAGGATATATATAAATAGGCGTGTCCATGTGTTAACTATTATTGCTCTCTCTACAATCCAAAAAGGGAAACAAAAGAAGAAGGAGAAGAAAAAGCTCACAAGAATTGTTCATCATCATTAAATGCAAAACAAGTTGATGCAATGTCTCTTCTCTGTGATCTTCAAATCAATCTCCACAGTGAATTCATTTTCTTCCTCAATCAGGTAACAAACCAAACCAAATCTCCACTCTTATTCAACCCTAACTTCCTCCTCTGCTTCTACAATCTGAACAAAACTCTGTCTCTCTGTTTTTGTGGGTTAGGGTTTGATGTCAGAGTACTCAGGGTTTTT